CGCCGTTAACGAACAAAAAATCGCTATGACAAAAAAAAAAAAAAACGAACAAAAAATCGCCGCTGCTATACCTTGGATAAGACGTAGCAATAGCATAGAGCCCCCCAGCCATAATAAAACCAAACAAAAGCTGCTCCCTTTGCACCGAAAAGAGCAACGAGAAAAAAAACTGGGTTTTGACAAGACCTCTGGAAATATAGTGGTATAGCACTGCCAAAGAACAGAAAATAAAGAGGAATGACCCTAAAAATTAATGGATTCCAGCTCCTTCCCTCCCTCAATTTAAGGGGCCACTGATGAATCTGGAGACTCTATACCAAAATGATATGCCTTCACTGTTTCAAGATGCAGCTGCACTGTAGAAAGAGTATAGAGAAACTTGATGATATAAATATAATGGTGGTGTTGTAATGGGGAAGTAATGATAATACGAGCAATGTAATGATACGTTGTAATAATCTGCTTCCCCAACTCCTCTACATCATTATTTCCCTCCTCCACCAACTGCCCTCCTCCTTGCTTCCATCTATAATAATAATAATAATAATAATAATAATAATAATAATAATAATAATAATAGCTCTCACTAATCATTATTATTATACTGTATACACCTTCTTCATCAATATCTCGAAATCCTTTTTTTTTTTTGTTTATTTGGAAGGGAGGGAGAAGGACAGGATGAGGATTGAGGAGGGAATTATTTTTGCAATTTGTTTAATTTAAATGGGTGCTTGCGAGGAAAGCAAAAACCAAGTCTGTGATTAGGCATGTGTGGGGAGTATAATTATGATTTTGTTAGGAATTAAAAAAAGAACATCATTAGCTATGTGTGTATCTTTGTTTCTATTGTACAAACGTATTACCGGGAAGCAACGTTGAACAACCACACAATATGTTTGATGGGTTACTCAACATGTTGTCATTCATTGGGGGAAATGATGTTTTTGTATGACTACTTGTGCAAAGAAGATTCGACATTGATACAGCGTTAGTGAGAGTGTATGTGACACAAGATCTAATGATCAATGGAGGTCAAGGTCATTGCACCAAGATTGTCAATAGTGGTGGAGGCAGGATTTGATACTAACTCTGTACGTTTTTCATAATATAAATATTTAATTAATAATAATTTAACAAATATATTTAAAACTAATTATATCAAAACAATTCATTCATAGATAAAAAATAATTGACTATTACTGACATATCCAATGTAAAAACATTTTTACAGCACCAACTCACCATCTGCTCAAATAGTGCATTATTGCACCTGGGCCGACAATCGTGCTCAGCCCACGACTCTCCCCGGTGAAGTGTTGGGTCAGGCCCATCCAGCTCCAATTAGTACCCAACTGTGCCATGGCCCGCCAACACTAAATCATACAGTGTTTCGCGATTGCCCCAAGATTAGGGTTCCTCCCTCCGAGTCCGGCACTCGGGCTCACCGTTGCCCCGGCTCCCGGCGACGAGCCTTCACCTCTTGTCCGGTTCCAGATGACCGGGCCCGTTATTGTTCCTGGACCCCGGCTCCCGGGCTCTGCCTTCCTCACTGCACCCGGGGCCACCATTGCCCCGGCTCCTGGCGGCGGACCTTCACCTCTCGTCCGGTGTCAGGGCCCGGGCCCGTTATCGTTCACGGACCCCGACCTCGGCACCCAGGCTCACCATTGCCTCGGCTCCCGGCGGCGGACCTTCACCTCTCGTCCGGTTCTCGGTGCCCGACCCCGTTATCGTTCTTGGACCCCGGCAACCTAGCCCACCATTGCCCCGGCTCCCGGCGGCTGGCATTCATCTCTCTCCCAGTTCACGACGCCTGGGCCCATTATCGTTCTCGGACCCCGGCTCCCAGCACCCGGGCCCAACATTGCCCCAGCTCCCGGCGACAGACCTTCACCTCTCGTCCGGTTCCCGGCGCCCAGACCCATTATCGTTCCCGGACCCCGGCTTCCGGCAACCGGGCCCACCATTGCCCCGGCTCCCGGCGACGGGCCTTCACCTCTCATCCGATTCCCGGCGCCCGGACCCGTTATCATTCCCGGACCCCCGGCTCCCGGACCCACCATTGCCCCGGCTTCCGGCGTCGGGCCTTCGCCTCTCCTCCGGTGCTCGGCGCCCACGCCCGATACTGCTTCCGAGCTCCGCCCCCCTCCTGGTGCCCGTGCCCGCTGTCACCCCCTCCTCCCAGTGCCCGGGCTCGCTGTCGCCCCCTGCTCCCTGTACCCGGATCCGCATCTATTCTCCCCACCTGTATCCATTGCATGTTTATTACCTGCACATGTGTCATGCCCTCTATTCAATTAGTTTGCATGTGGCAAAAGTGTTCCCCTTAGGCAGAAATATGGTTGACATGTGTACAACCACGTGGCGGGAGCAGATGGGCCTAAACGACACATGTTCAGTGACGTGTCTTTCCTTCATCTCCGGCGCCGACGCCTGTCCTCCCGTTCCCCCCCCTGGTAGTTACTATATAACTAGCCCATTCTCTCCAATGAAAGATAAGGCAAGAGATCGGGGGAAGTATCTGGAGAGCGCCCACTGCAATCAGTGACTCTCACCCCCCAAGCTCACCTCCTACAAACACCTTGTAAACTACTCAATCCCCCACACTAGGGACTAACTTGAGCGTCGGAGCGTGCCCCCGCCGAGATCGGTCGGCCGACCCTTTTTTGCAGGAAGCGATCGGAGGCAACGTCACGAAAGAAGGTTAACCGTAAAGGGGCACTTCAAATTGTTTCGGGGCCCAAGATCGAGGAAGTCGACATCGGTTACAACCTCGACATCAACAAATACAATCATGATTTTCATAAACAACCACGATGGGATTTCATGTTGAAAAAGAAACACAAAAAATTCGTTGTCTACACTCTTGAGTAAGTCTCTTTTAATGTATCTCACTAAACAATCATTAGCAAATTGGTCTACAATTGGACTTCGAAACTTGTTCTTAATATAACTCAAACCTAAAATGACCTTTCTACACTTGCAGTTGCAATTGGTTGAATAAAAACTAGTGGAACTGCAGTTGTTGATGAACAATTTCATGATTGTTGGGGGAAAATCAAATAGGCATAGAGAGAAAAGAGATCCGATGAGATCTTTACGGCAATTGAAATTTCATTTATAATGTAATAATTAATTTTATGTCAGTTTATAAACAAGTAGTGAGTTGTGCTATAAACCTATATGTATTATATTTCATCATCAATAAATGTATATATGGAATATTGTTTTCCCTCCAAAATTTACCCTTGTTCCATGAGTGACAAGGGCAAATAGCCCTGCCTCTGCCTATGATTGTCAAATAAGATTAAATAGTAGATTGTAGACTCCATCACACAAGTAGTTTAAGAATTAAGATCGAAATATAATTTTTTGACCATTTTTATATATGTTCCAAATATATAACGTAGTGTTTTAAATTTTAATGACAAAAATGAAATTTGATTTATAGATATTATTTAGTAATTTAACACCAATATATATTCCAATACAAATTTTCGGTCTCTCCCTTCCTTCCACTTTCTCTTTTCAAAGTGGAAATGAAATTGTTGGGTAATGTCTATTTTTTATCCAAATATTTTTCAGATTCTTTTATTTTATCCAAACCTGTAAAATGCTATTAATTATCCAAATCTTTCGTAATGAATCAAAATATTAACCATTTTTACATTATTGTTAATATTTTTGTAACGCTTTTCTTAGTTAAAATACTAAAATTTTGTAATGTTGACATTTATGTGTCTCTTCCAAATCAGTATCATGTTGTCAAGTCAATATTACTCACAAAATTGCTAACTGAAAGTTAACATTTGGTTAATTTTTAGTATTTTGATAGGTTTGGCTAATAAAAAAGAATTCGAAAAAGATTTGGATAAAAAATAGACATTGCCTTTTTTTTTGTTTTAGTCACTCTATCAACCCAGTTAGACATGTCGATTGTTTCAATTTTATCTGATGTTTAAAAGGCATGATTATTAGAAATTCGACTGTTTCAAATACGAACGGTAATCAATTGTTCTGCTAGAGTTGTGACCGATAACCGAATAAGAATAAGAATTAGTGATTAATAGTTACATATTTATAACCAAAAGTTAAACGATCAACCAACTACGTACGATCATCCTCATAGCTTGGACTGAAAATAATAGGGTTCGAGCGATAGACATAGGCCGAAAATAATAAAATGTTTAAAAGCTTACAAGATTCATTAACAATAGAGTGATGTTATCATGTATTTGTGTTGGATTGATATGATTATTTTAAATGACAACCATGGACAAAACGTATAAAAAACAACTAGACCCTAATACCATGGGACAATTTAGAAACTTGAACTCGACATTGGGTAAGAACGGTTTTGTTGTAGAAGTCATTTATTCCACCTTTCCTAATTGGGTTTTAGAATAAAACCCTCACTTTGTGTGTCTAATTATCTCTCCATGGAAGAGTAATGAAAGGAGACAAAAGAATTAATTAGGAATTGACAATTTGGAAACAATCAAACAAGAAATGGAGCTACCTACCACCACCGTATAAACTAAATGCATAACCCACGTAAGCAAGTATTTAGTATTAAGCAAACTATACGAAAAGTATTAGCACGCAGAAATACACGAAAAAAAAGGGGAGAAAATAATTAAACAGAAGTGAAATATCGGCGTCCCTTCTTTTTCCCGCGCTTTAAACTCAAGGACTTTTTCTTTTATTTTGTCTTTTCCTTTTTTCCCTTATCATATTATATAGATTAATTTAATTTTTCCTCTCGCCCCTCCTCTCCTTAAAAATCTATTAGTCAAAGTTTGTGTCTTCTCCACTTTTCCTTTTCACATCTCAATTCATAATCACAGAGTCACTTTCCCATTCGTTTCTATCTCTCTCTCCCTTACCTTATTCTCCCCCCTCTGTTTCTCAGATTTTCCCCAGGCCACCACGATCACAAAAAGCAAAAGAGGAAAAAAGAAAATCTATCTCAGAGATCACCTCCGTCGCCGGGATCCATGGAAACGGCCAAATGTCGATCGTCCATCCCCACCGGCCACAAGAGCAAGATCGCCAGAACATTCCAGAAGGTCATGAATCTCAAGTCCGCCACCAAAGTCGCCTCCAACAACGGCGGCGGCGGCATCGGAATCTGCATCCTCACCAATCCCAACAGCAAGTTCTCCGACGACATCCACGCCGACTCCGGCGCCAAGGAACAACAACACAAGCACAAGGACTCCACCAACAACAACAACGCCACCGCCAAGGCCAGGGCCAAGCGCAGCTCCGTCCTCGAGGCGCTCCTCGCCAAGCTCTTCGCCGAGGTCACCTCAATCAAAGCCGCCTACGCCGAGCTTCAGATCGCTCAGAATCCGTACTCCACCGAGGCTATCCAGGCCGCCGATCAGTCCGTCGTCGATGAGCTCAAAACGCTCTCCGAGCTCAAGCGGAGCTTCCTCCGAAACGAGCTCGACCTGATCTCGCCTCAGGTCACCGTGATGCTCGCCGAGATTCAGGAGCAGCAGAGCCTGATGAAGACCTACGAGATCACGATCAAGAAGATGGAGTCGGAGGCCGATGCCAAGACCTCGGAGGTCGCGTCGATGAGGAAGCTTCTGGACGAGTACGCGGCTTTCAATCGGTCTCTGGAGAAGAAATTGAACGCCAGCGGGCCGTTGCCGATGTTCGACAACATCCAGCTCTCCGTTCTCAATCCCTCGCATTTCGTCCAGTGCCTTCACTACTCTCTGAGATCTATGCGGAGCTTCGTGAAATTGATGATTCGAGAAATGGAGTCGGCGCGCTGGGACATGGACGCCGCCGCTAGGGCGGTGGAGCCGGCGGAATTAGGAATTCCATCGAAGTCGCCGGCAGCGGCGCAGCAGTACCGCTGCTTCGTTTTCGAGTCGTTCGTGGCGAAGACGATGTTCGAAGGCTTCAATCATCCCAATTTCACGGTTCCGAACGCTTCTCCGCCGCCCAATTTCACGGTTCCGGACGAATCTCCGCCGGAGGGGAAGGAAGAAGGGAAGGAGGAATACCGCCAGCGGGAGAGCCACTTCAACAAGTTCAAGAAGCTGAAGGCGGTGAACCTGCGGCACTACTTGACGCAGAATCCGAACTCGTCGCTGGCCAGGTTCACGAGGGGAAAGTATCTGCTGCTTGTTCACGCGAAAATGGAGTGCTCGCTGTTTGGGAATTTGAGCCAGAGGAAAGCCGTAACGTCCGGCGCTTTCCCCGATTCCCCCTTCTTCAACGCGTTCGCCGAGATGGCGCGGCGCGTGTGGGTGTTGAACCTTCTGGCACTGTCCTTCGGCCAGCAGCTTCACATTTTCCAGGTCAGGAAGAACTGCCGATTCTCCGAGGTTTACATGGAGAGCGTGAGCGATGACGCAATGGCCGAAATTCCCGGCGCCGGCGTCGATCTACGGGTGGGGTTCACTGTCATTCCAGGGTTTAAGATTGGGAAAACTGTAATACAGAGTCAGGTGTATTTGACGCCGGCGGGTAAATCGCCGGTGAGGCGTTGATTTTGTAGGGAATTTTCGTTTCTGTATAAATTCTTTTTGTAATGTAAGTATGCTGCTAAATATGTCAATGAGAATGAAGCGCAACGTTGACGCCATTTGAGATGATGGAGCTTGGGAATTTGGTTACAAGGAGAAAATATGGGAACGTCTGCGGCGGCGCGTTGAAGAAACGCGCTTATAGGTAGTAGTTAGATTAAAATAATAATACTAATTCCACCAAACAATGTAATGATAATAATCGAAAGGTGTTAATAAAGCAGCTCGTTGGAATGTATGAGGAGCACAGCTGGCATTCTGGTCCCACCAGCTGAAGGCAACCTGAACGGTATTATTCGGGCAAGTAGTATTATTATTTTAAGTTGATTATGCAACAAATTAATTATTGTCCTTTTAATGGAGTCTAATGACCTTAAGCTCCCATATGAATCATAACTTTTCTCCTCTTTCGCCAAAACTAAGCTATATTAATTTATAACACAACACCAAAGGCATATGGGGATTATTGTGATTGATTGTCGGTTTTAATTATAGATACGTAAAATTACAACATGTTACAATTAATTTTAAATGCGGTGTTCTTCGTTAGTGAATGTGAAAGTTGAACTAGATATCTTTATATACAAAATCAATATCCATTGGACGACGCCCATAATGAATTTTGACATGGTTGCAAATCCTAGTGTAAAAGAGGAAATAGCCAAACAGAGAAAGAAATCCAGAGCACTAGGGTGGGCTAAATATTTAATTTTGGGTGCCTAATTCTTGTGCTTTAACAACGTACTTAATGGTTATATCGGGGGGTCGCTTTCACTTTGGGGGAGATTTACATTACCATATTAAAAATTGTAACAGAATATAGTGAATTAATTAGTCAAAGATCTGATTTAAGGGGCCATGGCCATGCGAGCGGAGGAAGGAAGAAAATAACAAAGGAAAAGGAGAATTGGGACCAAAGCAGCAGAGTACTATGTCTTGAAATAGATCCTGTCTTATTTCGATGTCCACCACTCCACTAGTGACAAGACGACAAATAAACTAGGTGGTAGTAAATAAATATGAATCAATGTTCCTGATTAGCGAGCCAAGTGGTGGGTTTTATATTAAGTTGTCTTTGTGTATTCTTTTTCTCTTTCCTTTTGGGATCTCATTCTTTTTGCCCTTTGGGAAAACAGTCATAGGAATGATCAAAATGAACGGTGTGTATTCAACAATGGACAATTTGAGTGTTTTAACGGTTGAGTCCGGTCTAAATGCAAAGAAAATTCCGGTATCGTAACTAAATTAAAGTGAGTTTGGTTTGGTTCAGATATTTGATTCTAATACAACTATACACGGTGTTCGCAATTATATTTGAGACCAAATTTCTACTAGATCTAAATGTTGAACCAATACAAGTATAAAACCGACTCCAATGTTGTATACGATGCAAAAAACAGGTACTAATGTTGCCAGAGTACAATCCATGAATTTTTTATCATAAAAAATGTCATAATATTTGATTTAACGATAAAAGAATATACAAAAAAAACGAGTTAACAAAGCCGATATACACCCCAACATCGGTATATTAGTCCGATTTAGGGCTGTACTCTATCCTAAAACGGGTGCTATCATGGCACTATTATTTGTTTTTACTAACATGGTAGATGACTTTTGGTGATGTTGAATCGTCAATCCTTGTGTCATACTTTTATTTGTAAGGGTCATCGGGATTAGCCAAAAGCATTATGGAAGTTTACCCTATGGATGGTTACGTTGGGATGGGGAACTACCTTTGTTTTCTTGTTTATGTTCTTTTTTGGTTCTTGAGAAGAAAATGACTTGCTTTTCTTTTCTTTTCTTTTCTTTTCTTCTCTTCTCTTCTCTTCTCTTCTCCCGGCCATTTCTTATCAATATATCTAGTCTTTTTCTACTTTCTAGTAGTCGAGGCGGTGGTGGTGCGTGACAGTAAGGTCCAAAATATACAATTGAGTAATTAAGAGGAGGCAAAAAAGATGCCATAATTACCATTGCAAAATGGTGGGCTTATTAGTCCGTTGGATTGGATTGGATTGGATTGGACCCTTATTTCAGCAAGTCCAGTCCAGTTGGCTGAGCATCATTCACGAGTCCATCTTTTCACTGACAGTAAACTTTGAACACAGTCGCTCGCTTGCTAGCTCGCATGTGAATAATCTGCGGATTTTGCAGCTCTTCTCAGCAGTGACTTCCTCCTTCCTCTGTTTCTTTCAGTCCACTTTTTGTTTTGAACTGTTTGCACTTTGCAGCACAGTCGCTCTCTTTTCTTTTGTAAGTTGTAGCCCCACTTTGGCAGACCTTTTTTGCCCACCACCACCACCCATGGCCTCTGTCTTCTGTGTTTTGGGTCCCCCTGCTTCAGAACATTTGTGTGTACGTGGTTGAGCCGATACAGTGAGCAAATCATTTCAGTTGTTCCGTAACAGTTAGATCAACTGTACGTTGGTAAAATCATTTGAGCTGTTGACTCGCTATGACACAACTCCTAACAATGGCCAAGTGTAACCAATGAAAGGGACTGCAGTATAGTGGCTCAAGTAATAAATATCGAATCCACGGGTCTCTAGAGTTACTATTACTCAGCTTCAGTTCGTTATCTAGCAAAACAGCTTAAGTTGAAAGAACTAAAACTACTCTAGCAAACTACAGTTAAAATTAATCTAATTACAGGTTGGGAACTCACTTAGGTATGATTCCCCCTAGCCACTAGCCAGATTAACGACTGATGATCTCTAACTAGTTTCACTTTCATTCACAATGCGGAGAATCCTTGACTAGACCTTGAGTCTCGACTAAAGGAACAAGGCCCTCTTGAGTCAATTGCCTAGAGGGACGTATCCTTCTCTAGAACAACCGATCAAGGCGTTCTGAACTAGATTCCCTCTATCGAATGAGGTTCTCAATCGATACAAAGCAGTGAATCAACCCTCGACTAAAGCAATCGATCCACTACTATCAATCTATGGTGCTCTATTGACCTAATCAGGTATTCGCTCTCATAGGATCAAAGCAGAATCAATAATCTCGACTAAAGCAGAATTGAATCGTGAAAACATGCATAGATTGAATATGAACTCAAGATTATCAAGTAAGAGTACTCATACAATCATCCAATCGAACAACCATAGCTAGGGTTCCTCAAAACCTAAGTGAAGGGAAGTTACTCCATAGAGAAGAGAGAGACTGCAGTAAGAATCTTCAGATGATCAGTCTTCAAGTCTGGGCTTGTTCCTCGAGCTTCCAAGGCGAAGAAATCCTCCAATTCCACTCCGCGAATGCCCTCAAATCGCCCCCTCTCTCTTTGGTTCGTCCCTTGGGTGTTTGGGATCCAAAACCCAGCTCCCTTTTGCAAAAACGCACAAAACCGGCTTTTATCCTCTGCCTGGTCGCGATACCCGGTCAGAATACCCGGTCGGGTATTCTGGGTCTCGACCGGGTATAATTGAAGCGCACCGTTTCGTCATCAGGGAAAATCCCCGATCTACCACCAAAATCCCCGACCGGGGATTTAACTGATGTGCCCGGGCCCCTCTCTGTTTCTCGGGCGCCCAACCTTGGTTAATACCCGGTCGGGTATATGGCCACCTGACCGGGTATTTTCCTCCTGCAGCCCCCTTAGTCCCAACTCGGCTCCTTTCGACCCAGAACTCGTCTCTCCGCCTCGATTCCAACGCCGGGACCTGAAATATGACATAAACACACAACCTAGCGTGAAATCGGCTTAAAACACGAGATTCCACATCACAAACGGCTTCAGAATAGGGGTGAAAACATGTGTAATTATCGGTCTATCAAACTCCCCCACACTTAACCGTTTGCTTGTCCCCAAGCAAACCTAACTCAAACCAATGCAGCTCTCCAGACCTCTATAGCAACAAACAACCTCGATCGTAGGTAGAGGACTTTCTAGATCATAAAGCAGCTTACGAGGTCAACTGGTCTTCTAAGACGTCCCCTATCTTTCTCAATGCGAGTACTAGACTCAAGCCAGGATCATGAGAAAAAGTAGAAGTAAGACAGTCAGTTCATGGATAAAGGGACTCACACCATTCACAACCAAGGACTCGTTGTACCGGGGTGCTCTTTCACTTCTTTCACCGTTGGAACCCCTTTTTCACTTTCATTTTACTTATTTTTTTTTCTTTTTATTCACTTGGCGGGGGTTCCAACTGCAGTCTTTTGCACAGTCGACCCTTATTAGTCGAGCAAGAGCAATTTCTGTACATCTGGCGCTCGCCAGAGTACTTCTTTTAACTCCTTTTCCTCAACTCGTGTGGAGGGTCAATGAAATTAAGGGGGGTCGGAAGCTCTATCCGTGCCCTTAAAAACACATCCTCGAGTAGGCAAAACGTTCAACGGGTGGAAGTTTTACTTGTACTAGAGACAGCTTAGCTTCACCTTGTAGGAGTACCCCACTAAGGATCACTAAAATCTCTTCCAAAACCCGATTTTTGTGCAATGAACGGTGCCACACACGTTGGGCTTACCCCATGTTTAAGATTTTTGATGATTTCGACATGGAGGACCAACTGCTTTTCATTTGCCACATGAGCACCCTGTTCAATACACGAGTCCATAACACAATTCAAACAGAGTCCACATTACCACATGAATCCAACGGTCTTAGCTCCACTAATTCACAAAATCAACTGACACAGCAGAGAGCTAGATAGGAAAAATCTTATACTTCAACATCCTCCATAGTGCTACACTACCTCCCTAGGTTGCACATTACTATAGAGACTGTCAATTCAAAGCATACTGAGCAGGCAATTTGCATGGAAACACGTACTTGGAGCCCTCAAATTTAAAATTTGGACAGTGGACTAGGCTCCAAGCACACAAACAGCCAAACATTCACCCGCATACATAATCGAACACCCCCCCACACTTAAGCACGACATTGTCCTCAATGGAGGAAAGATAAGGAGGGTAGAACGAAGTTACCAGATCAAGGGTGAATGATGATGGACGGGGCAGGC